AACCTCAAATTCGGAACACAACTTGTTTAGATTTATGGGTTTGATTTTTAGAGTAAGACACGTTTCGGAAATATATATTTCATTTCAAATTTAAAAATAATATTTTTGTGCATTTTTTAGAATAATGACCTTAAACTTCTGTAACTTTTTACCATAAAATCCACCCAAAATTGAAAATCCATGAACAAATTGAAACCCATTATGGAACTAAAATACAGTGCATTTAATTGAAGTAATAATAAAAATTAATAATTAAAAAATATATCTTTTAAACATTTTTTATACATTTTTATTAATAATTAATAAAAAAAAAATGTTTTGTCATTTTTGACCACCATGTGAGCAGCACCAGAGTTCAGTCATCTGTTTAGAATCGGTAGGGAAACAGATACTTCCAATATTTATTATTATTTAATTTAAAGATTGACTTATTAAATTCCATTCAAATTAATTATTGTGGGTTTTACACACACACACACACACACACATATATATATATATATAAATAGTATATGTGTGTATACTATTTCACTTGTTTATTATTTGAACCGTTGAGTATCGGGCTAAAGTAAGGAGATAGTTTTGAACACTGGCTGGTTATGTACTTGCTCAAATATTGATTTGGGATAATTTTAAACCAAAAAATTTTACGGACTGCAGCTTTAGCATTAATGCGACAGACAGCCTATATTGCGATATAGTGTAATGCATGGGTCTAATATGATGTTACACATCCTAAGTTTTTCCCCAGCAGTTCCTCAAGCATTCACTTATGACATACTGGTTTATGTTTGTGTGAACACTTAAATACTGTAATTCTGTGTATATGTGTATTTATCGGGCTCACACACCGTCGGTGTCGTCTTTATGCAGGCGCTTCGGATGAGAGTCAGCGCGAGAAGCGAGTGGAGAAAAAGATGCTCCTCTCAGAAAAACATACAAAGAAAGATAGTTTTAGATGTTTAAGTTGTATTTGGAGCACTGGGATCGCTAAAAGAGGGCTTGATGAACTCATTTATGTGAAAACCTCAAAATCGACATTTTTCACTTTTTAAAATAAGCCTGTGTGCATTCACACTCATGTCGCCAACATGAGTCACATATACAGTCAAACCAAAAATTATTCAGACACCAGATGTAATTTTTTATATTTTTTATTACTAGTGGGTGCAGGACACTATAGTTCATAAATGTAAGTGAGGAGAGCAAAATAAAGTAAACTGACATATTACACCCAAACATACTTCATGCAGTGGACTACCAGTAAAATTTGGGACAAAAAATTATTCAGACACTTTGACCTGAGCATGTGTTTCTTAAGTGTTTTTCTTTAATTGCTAATGCATCTTTTTACACCACAGACTGAACAGAATGAAGCACTGCTTGGTAATTAGTTGAGCTAAATTGGTTTTATCTAATTGTGTTCGAACCCTGAGTTCTTATATTTTAGTACCATTTTCTAAACTATAGCGAATAAACTGTGATATAATGTGAGAAATGTTGAAGTGTCTGAATACATTTTGGTTTGACTGTATATGTATGTATGTATTTGTGTGTGTGTATATATATATATATATATATATATATATATATATTAGGGCTGTCAGTTGATTAAAATTTTTAATCTAATTATTACATGATGTGTTGATTGATTAATTTAATTAATCGCAAATTACATTTGGCTTTGAAAATACCCACAAAAGATTATTTAATGCTATTTTTGTGTTAAATGAGAAAGTATTAAGTAGACATTACAAATAGTATCTTTAGAAAGAAATATTTTATTTGATTCAATTTAGGGATGCACCGAATGTTCGGCAACCGAAATTATTCGGCCGAAAATAGCAAATAAAAGCTCTCTCTTTTGGTGTTCAGCCGAATAAGCGAAAAAAACCCCGAATAAATTGGACCGAACAATGACGTGACTCGATCAAATAGCAACCAGAGCAGAGTGAGAGGCGCGCACTCTTTATAATGCAGCAAATATGTCACAGTGTAGAAGCATTTAAAACTGTCGGAGTAAGACGCAAAAATCATTAAAGCACCAACAGCGAGAGACTGTTTAGCTCTGCATCACACGTCTCGATGAGAAGAGGAAGAGCTGCTGCTGCTGGTGACTGTATGATGAGTGAAATCACCAAATGGACTTAAATTAGTAAATAAACTGCAGAATGTTATGTTTTCTGAAACGCACACGGATTGCATGTGTTCTGACAGCGCTGACGAGCTCGTTAGCCAGGGTTCAGAGTCCAAATCTGAGCTGAAACAGTGTTACTCGTCAGCTGCTCAGCCACATTTTTATCAATTCTTACAATAATACGTGCAACAAACATCATTTATAAATCTGCTGTTGTCAACAAAGAGGTCTTCCTGCGGGTTTCTGCCAAAATAAAAGTTGACAAAAAGCAAGAACTCCAACATTCATAAATGTTAGTATTGTAATTTTACTGTTCTGTAAAATAAAATAAAAAGTAAAACAATAATGATAATAATTACAACAGCTCTGTTAATACATTTATTATAACATTCACACACAGTGTTCAAATTGGGATCTGTAATATTTTCTAATGTTTTAAACGACATCTCTTCTGTTCAGTGAGGCTGCATTTATTCGTACAGTAAAAAATACATTCTGATTCAAGAAGGGGGTCTGAGCTTTGTTGGTATAGTGTCTGCTAGAATCTTAAAAAATGTTTAATGTTAAATATTTTTAAATTGTTGTTTTGTAATAGATTTTTTCTTCGAAAAACAAGACAAAACCATAAAAAGCACATTTTGGCTATTTAATTTATGCAATGGTGAAACAAATTGTCAAAATACATGGGGGGAAAAACCTTGAAAAACCGTGTTCGGTATTCGGCCTTCGGCCCAGTGTTTAATTTTGTTCGGTTTCGACTTCGGCCAAGAATTTTCATTTCGGTGCATCCCTAATTCAACATAAAAATGTATTACACATAAACGTTTAGGCTACAACGGCCGAACACAAACTATGGAACACAAAAGAAGATAATTTGAGAAACATTGCCATTTTATATACATTTTTTTTTTGTTAATGCAATGGAGGTCATTTTTCATCAAAACAGATTTGTTACCGACAGTCTTCAAAATACCATCTTTTATGTTCCACTAAAGAAAGTAAGTCTTTCAGGTTTGAGTAAATGATGACATAATTACATTTTCTTGGATGAACTACCCCTTTCCTTTTTTCCCCTTTAAAAAAAAAAAATGAAATAATACTCTTAATAAGAAACTAAATCTGCCAGCAGGTGGCGGTAAATGTCTTTATGAGTCATTCATTCATTCGATTCGTTCAAACGGCTGATTCATTCAGGAGTTCAGTAAACGGCTCTCATTATGAATGGCTCTTTGAATCATTGATTCACACGGTTCGTTCAAAACGCGGATTCATTCAGAAACTAAATGCAACTGTGTTGCTCAGAGACGCACAACAATTCTGCTGTGGCTTTATAGGCAATATTTTTGTTGGCAAAACTGAGCAAAAAAAAAAAAACAATATTAACTTCTCATTTACTGAACTGTTGTATAAAATCACATTTGCACTCGTTATATTCTGACATAAACAGCACTCGTGTGATATTGCTCTCCCTGCTCATGTGGTATCGCTTATCGTATGATATAAATATGAGACAAAAACTCATACAGCAGCATTTTTGCCCCAAATATCTAGAATTTTAGGGCATAACTGCATTTATGGAGTTGTTGCCCTGCATCATATTTATCAACAGTCCACTGTATGAAATGTAAGATGATGTAGTAGTCAGGGGGCGGGGCCAGTGCGTTAACGGTGTTAAAATATTTTAATCACATTATTTTTTCATAACTAATTAATTAACCCGTTAAACTGACAGCCCTAATATATATATGTGTGTGTGTGTGTGTTTATGTAAAATCGGTATATATATCAGTATTTTACTGTAAACTCGTCATCAAAATAACTGTCCAAAAGGAGGTCTGTTGGAGCTGAAGACATGAGATATATTGATCATCATGAGTGTATGTCTATCAGATCCCATCATCATCATCATCTCTGTGTTAGAGCTCATGTGAAGTGGATCTGGAGTCTGTGCCAGTGAAGCGTCAAAGATGTAAAAGTGTGTGTTTTATGAGCGCGAAGAGGCTTCTCTTTTACAGGGCCATAAATACATTGTTATTAGGTGTTGGGAGTGAGCTGAGATTTATCCCAACGATTAGCCGGCCTAGCATCCTCCTTCCATTAATCCACACACACACACTCACACACACACACTCGTCCTCAGCCTAATTCACAGCCCTAATATATATATGTGTGTGTGTGTGTTTATGTAAAATCGGTATATATATCAGTATTTTACTGTAAACTCTTCATCAAAATAACTGTCCAAAAGGAGGTCTGTTGGAGCTGAAGACATGAGATATATTGATCATCATGAGTGTATGTCTATCAGATCCCATCATCATCATCATCTCTGTGTTAGAGCTCATGTGAAGTGGATCTGGAGTCTGTGCCAGTGAAGCGTCAAAGATGTAAAAGTGTGTGTTTTATGAGCGCGAAGAGGCTTCTCTTTTACAGGGCCATAAATACATTGTTATTAGGTGTTGGGAGTGAGCTGAGATTTATCCCAACGATTAGCCGGCCTAGCATCCTCCTTCCATTAATCCACACACACACACTCACACACACACACTCGTCCTCAGCCTAATTCTTCATCACTTGCTCAAGTAAATTATTTACTATGCGGAGTTAATTATCCCTCGTTTAAGGTGCATTTTTTAAGACGTTGCTGAGACCTGCAGGTGCGTGAATCTTGAGTTCTGGACTTAATTAATAATCATGAATCCTGCTGAGTGTGAGAGCCACTGGATCAGATCAGCAGGCCCTCACCGGTGGACGAGTGACATCAGCAGGTCAGCTGTCAATCATCCGTCACTCACTCGTCCACTAGGTGGGGCTCCTGCACTGATGATCACCAGTGACCGAGTGCGTCTCAATCTCTCCGCAGGATCACGGATCAGCGCTTCGAGCGGCTGCCGTACTTCATCTTCGGCGACTTCAACTTCAGGTTGGACTCCAAGCAGGTCATTGAGGTCAGTCAGACGCTCTCAGTGTGTCACACAAACACTCACAGTCTTGCTGAAGTTTACTGCATGGAATACTTGTGTGACCTGATGCATTTGCTAAAATCTGCAGCAGAACACACTGCTTGAGTGCCTTACAGTAAGTTGTAACGTTTCCCACAATGTATTTCCAATACAATATATAGTAAATACTAAATAAATAAACAATTGATATATTAAATAACAAATAGGTAAAAAATTTTATCATATATTTAATTATTATTTTGAACTCTCTCTCTCTCTCTCTCTATATATATATATATATATATATATATATATACACATATATATATATACATAGATTATACAATTCGAGTCTGGGTTACAAAGGGAAATGTATATGAATGTAAAGAACTCTCTCTCTCTCTCTCTCTATATATATATATATATATATATATATATATACACATACATACATACATACATAGACACATAGTGCTTATGTATATATAACTATATTAAATCATTATTATTATTATTATAAATGATAAAATGTCCCACAATGTATTTCCAATACAATATGTAGTGAATAATAATTATTAATAATTTAGATATTAAATAAAAATATGTAAATCAATCATATATTTAATTATTTTGAAATACAACATTATTTCATTTAAAATATATTATTACATTATAAATATATTTAAATATTTGTTATTACTATATATATATAGTAATACGTTTTATTTCAGCTAGTTGTTAAGGCAACATGTCTTATTTTTGTTTAGTTTAACAAAAAAACAAAAAAAAAATGTAATAAAAAAACAAAAAAAATTTAATAAAAAAATTCAAGTGAAAACTAAAAATGCCGAAAAAAGAAAAGAAAAACGAAAAATACTAAAGTGAAACCAGAGAATATAAAAATACAATATAATTCAAAATTTTAACAAAACTGTAACAGTGTATCAGAACTGATTTCCAGTATGCATCAAATACTCAGATGAGCAACATTTACTAAAATGCACAAATGCAGCTCTAGACGCTGTATCCCACAATGCATTGTGCTTGACTTGACCTTCCATTTCCAGAGTGATGAATGAACCAGATGAAATATGAAACGAAAGCGTTTTTAACATCATCTTTACTCAGCGTTTGATCGGACTGATAAAGTCACAGCATTTGCACACAGAATTGGTCTTAAAATGCAAAATGACAGAATTAAAATGCAGGAAAACTCTAAACTTTTATAGCGTTGTGTGTTTCTGGGAAGGGTCTGAAGGGCCTGGCTTGTGTTTAAAGGCGTCATTAGCACACAATGAGTGTGAGAAAAGCCTCCTCACATAACAATGCTGCTGGAGGGCCACTCAGCAAACACAGCTGGGCCCCTGAGGACCCCAATGAGTCGTATATGTGAGGGCCGTAAACCAGCTCAGCAGATCCACGGCTCATTGTTCTCAATCAGGTCCTGTGTGTGGCAGGAAGGAGGCGTTGTTGAATTGCTGCTTGAGCTGTAATGATGCATGACGGATTTATTCAGACATTTAATTTAGTTTAATTTATCTGTAGCTGTTATTACCCACAATCCTTTGTGCAGCAGAATAGGAGTTTGTTACTGTTATTTTCTCCATCCATTCATCCATCAGGTTAATGGTTTTTATTAGTTGTCATAAACAAGCCTCAACTTTTTTATTTGATGCAGATATGAGTCGATGTGTCGTATTTTATAGAAGGCACGTCTTGATTTGTTACACTGTATAAATGAAAATGAAATGACAAGCTGAATTTGAACAGGAAAAGGGAACTTTAAATCTTTATATTTGTGATGTTAAGTATTTTTATGCACTTAAATGAGATCGGAGCGTGTGATTGTCTTGCAAAAATCAAACCTTTGAAATACAAAGTAATAATAGTGTGTGTGTGAGAGTGAGTGTGTGTGAGAGTGAGTGTGTGAGAGTGAGTGTGTGTGTGTGAGTGTGTTGGTCTGGCAGTGAGGAACTAGTTCAACACTTTAATGTCAATTAACGTCAGCCACACAATTAGTGTTGGGTCCGAGCTCGACTCCGATTGCGCCGCTGTATTGATTTTTTCCCCTGCAGTTTAACTAGAGATTGATTTACACTAGTGCACACTAATTCACACCAGTTTATTCAAACATGCGTCTGATGAAGCGCTCGCTAATGATTGTGCTTCTGCTTGTGCACTATATTTAATAATGCAAATATCTAAATATCCTTACAAGAAGAAAACATTCTATATTTATTTATATATTTATACTTTTTCATAAAGGTATTTTATACTTAAATTGTCTATGTATAGTATGAATGTCTTTAATTATAAATATATAGTTACAGTATCTTTGACTACATACTAGTAAAAATATATACTTGAAGATGCTATATACTCTATATTACATTTTAAGTATTATACTTAAAAATAGTTTATATTTATACATTTCATTATTTAAGACACTTATACTTACAGATACTATAAATACTTAAGTATATATTTATGCATACTTTTTCCATAAAAAGATTTTATACTTAAGATATTTTTGTGTATAGTATCAAGTATTTTTTATTTTAAATTTATAAATCAATATATAGTTACGTTATCTTTAAATATAAACTAGTATAAATATATTTAATCGCATACAAAATACAAGTTTTGTTTGCATAATATTTGTGTGTTCTGTGTATATTTATTATGTCTATATAAATACACACACATACAGTATATATTTTGAAAATATTTGCATTTATTTACATGTCTATATTAATATTCATATAATTTATATTATAAATAAATATATTTAATATATAAACGTAACATATTTTTCTGAAAAATATACATGCATATATGTGTATTTATATATACATTATAAATATACACAGTTCACATACATATATTATGTAAACAAAAACTTTTATTTTGGATGCGATTATTCGCGATTAATCGTTTGACAGCACTAATATATATACTTGAAGATACTATATACACTGTATTGTATTTGTAATTTATATATTTATTTATAGTTTAACTATACATTTTTTATGCTAGTATAATTTAAGACATCTTAAAGATACTATACATACTTAAATGTATGTTAAATATGCATTTATACTCGTCCTATACTATATATATATTTAAAAGTGTAAATGAAATGGGTGTTTTGTTTGTATTTTGCAGTGTATGTTCTTTTGATGAGGCTGAATTGAAAGTTAAAGAGTGTCAGGATTCCTATTTTAATGTCTCTTATTGAAGTAATCAGAGAAAACGAAAGTATGAGAATATGATGAAATCCGTACCTCAGGGCTCTGTTGGTAATGAATCAGTTTGTGTGGTGACGGCCGTGGTCCTGGACTCCAGTATATTTAAAATCCCTCCTAATTAAACTTAATAGAATGTAAATTTAATTTGTGGGAAAATGGCGGCCGTTCCAATCTCAGGATTGATAGGGGCCGACAGGCGGGTTAATTACTGACTTGATCTACTGAGCTCGTGACATAACTTGTGCTGTGTTTAATTGGAGTGTATTGGCTGGTTGATGGAGGCTCCGACGCCCCCTATCTGCGGCGCATGTAAACATCAATCTCTCCTTCTTTTGTCCTCTGTCTTTCTGAGGGCCGAGCAGCTTGAAATTAAAGGTGGGGCCTCGCTGTACATGACTGATGTAAACTGCTCATTAATGAGCAGTCAGAGGCTCATAAAACTTTAATTTTTCAACATTTGAAGAGCTTTCTAATTGATGGCCTCACGCCAGTGTCAGATCAGTTTGTTTTTACACTGAAATAGAGAAAAACAATAAAAATGTGTGTAACCCTATGTTATGTTACGTCATGTTACGTTATGTTATGTTTTGTGTAACCCTATGTCATGTTACGTCATGTTATGTTATGTTTTGTTGTTACGTTATGTTATGTTATGTTTTGTTGTTATGTTATGTTTTGTGTAACCCTATGTTATGTTACGTCATGTTACGTTTTATGTTATGTTACGTCATGTTACGTTATGTTATGTTTTGTGGTGTTATGTTTCATTGGCCCAGTTTCACAGACGGGGCTTAGCTCAAGCCAGGACTAGGCCTTAGTTAAATTAAGATATTTAAGCAGCTTTTATAAAAATTCCTTCGAAGAAAACGTTACAGGTGTGCATCTCGAGACAGAACAATGGCACTGGCATATTTTAAGATATGTCAGAGCAATATATTTTCATTTGAGACAGCTCAAGCATGCATTTTAGTAGGGCTGGGCGATTTTTCCGATTTTATCGATTAACTCGAATTTATATGTTTTGCCACGATTTAATTTTTTTGTAAATCGAGGAATTGCGATTTTAAATACAGATATTACCAAACGTTAGAATTAGACACTGTGACAATAACAGTCGAGAAAAGAAAGATCCAACCGCATGTCGGCGTACGTGATTTAACCGCTCACGTTGTGACGTGCTCTGTGAAGGACCATAAGTAGAATATATCGCTAGGCACCATTCACACAGAATGCACTTTTGTGTTGGCAGAAATGCGACGCGGGCAGTGGAATAGGAAAAAATTCAATAAGATGGGAGTTGAACATCTTTTAATAACTAGAGCGCCGTGTTTTTAGAATGCCGTTTCATGCATGAGACACTGCAAGAGACGCGAACGCAACAGTCAAACGCGTCCATGTTTACATAGAAAAAACAATGGAAAAGCAGTGCAATCGAATAAAAAACCTGTAAAGAACTACTACTGTATGCCTGATATTTCATGTTTGCATCATGATGACAGGCAGAAAACTGCTGTTCATTGTTTTTACAGAACATTTATAGTTAATAATAGTCTACTGGTGTTTTACCTTCAGTCATTTTGAATTTGAATTATGTTGACTTTTTAAAGATTTTTTAAAACATTTTTCTCGTATTATTTCTGAACATATAATGTGCATAAGACAAGTTTGTACAAGATGTAGTTGTGGTTCATGCATCTTTTCTGCAAAGATATTTAACAAGTGATTTGTTTAACATTTACATCATGTTGACAACTTAAT